AATTGTAATAATCTTAATGTTAAATAAAAATGAATTTAGAAGATTATTTGAGTTCATGTTGTACTTTTTTCAATAAAAGTTTTAATCTAATGTCTTAAAGTATTTTATTTCATTTTAATTTACCTACAGTTACAGGAGCAATATTTTTTTACTGTCGAAACCGTTAAATTTAACACACATTTTATGCACAGGACTGTACCTATGTTGAAACGATTGGTTGACAGATAAAAAGAAATGAACATATATACCTAAAACAAATGATATTTAGGATTTTCTCCCACGAAAGCGATTTTTTAAGTTTAGCAAAAATTATAAGTGAGTGGGTAATTGTGCCAGTGAGAGTATTAAAAGACCCGGACTTATTTTTCCCGTTGCCTTAATTTTGCATAAAATAATCTTTGAGAACAAGAAAAACTATCGATATTGTTATTTAAAGAAAAATAAAATATCGATACCGGACTTTCCCTAGTTACGATTTTTTGTGATTGTCATTAGTGTGCGTAGGTGAAAAACTATATATGTAGGCGATTGTAACAATACAAATAACTAAGACTGTGTGGGTTTATTTCAATGTAGTGGTTTACCTAGTCCCCCTCAAAAAGTGACAGACTTTGCACTGAGTAAAATTAGGCGCGTACTTAGTCCAGTGGTTTAATGGTCTAAGCCAGCTCCTCATATAAACTATTTTATTACAAGTTCATACATACTTTAATGCGAAAAGACTTTACCCCAACCTATTATGTTGCAGGTAAATAAGAAATACAAAAAAGATGTTGCTGTTACTAAGTTTATTTGGATCTTGCTTTTCAAGCTGACACAGTCAAACTTACGTCGCCAATGACTTATCACATTTCACACATAAAAAAAATGGATGCGTGTAACTTATGTACGCGCGTGAGAAGTTATACTTCTTTAGCATCATTAAAAATATTTTTTAATTGCATGCAAATAATTACAATAAAATAATAAAAGGACTGGAAAAGGATAGTTAACACAGTCAATTAAGTTCAGTTTTAATTTGAAAAATTAAATAAATATTCAAAATATTCAATTAAAATCACTACTGAATTTAAGTTATTAGTGCATATGTAATTAGCACTTGTAAGTAACTAAAACACGTTGTGTCTATATAGAAACTAGAAACATGTGGATAAATATTATAAATATGAAAACAGTGATCAGAGGCGACGAGCGTGCCAACATTGTTTTTGACAACGCGATCATCTTATGGAGCTCCGTGGATCGTTGAAAGTACCTTTCGAACAGATGTCTAATAATGGTGGATTATTAACATTCATAACGCGCCCGCGGCCAACTTCATGGTGTTACTATTGTGTTACAGTGATGCGCGCGCATCTTAAAATTTCACTCTCATCATTTTTTCATAACGCGCCCGCGGCTAACTTCATTATGTTACTTTTGTGTTACAGTGATGCGCGCGCATCTTAAAATTTCACTCTCATAATTTTTTCATAACGCGGCTAAAGAAGTATAACTTCAAAAAACCTTCTTTTACATCGTTAACACCCAATTGTATCTTCGACAATCTCTACACAGAATGAAAAAGGAGAGACTTATGTTAATTTTTTTTGGATTTGGATTATTTACCACTAAGTGGTTAATAATCCACCATTATTAGACACTAACATTCATAACGCGCCCGCGGCCAACTTCATGGTGTTACTATTGTGTTACAGTGATGCGCGCGCATCTTAAAATTTCACTCTCATCATTTTTTCATAACGCGCCCGCGGCTAACTTCATTATGTTACTTTTGTGTTACAGTGATGCGCGCGCATCTTAAAATTTCACTCATAATTTTTTCATAACGCGGCTAAAGAAGTATAACTTCAAAAAACCTTCTTTTACATCGTTAACACCCAATTGTATCCTCGACAATCTCTACACAGAATGAAAAAGGAGAGACTTATGTTAAATTTAGTTTTAAGTTTAGAAATTCATACCAGAGTCGACACCAACGTCAAACTACTAAGGAAATAGTCATATTTTAATTTTTTGAGCATTTAACTGGCTAGATGTTTAAATTTAAATTGTTCCAAGGAATTAGTTATGAATTAGTATCTTCATGTAAATGGTCTGTGAGAGAATCAATTCAATTCAAAACTAAAATTATTAATGATTATTACAGGTCGCGGCGCGTAACTCTAGCGCTGAACAAAACGCGAATGGAACAGCTGCGCATGGTGTCGTTTCCCCCCAAGACATTTTATTTAATTTTTACTTCTGCGCAATAACCGTTATTAATACATATATATAACAGCGCTAGAGTTTCGTGCCGTGACTAAGGGTACGGCCAGAGTGCACTCAGATTCAGATTCAGATTCAGATTCCGAAAACAAGCGCGAGAAATAAACAGTGTAGTTAAAGTAGGGTGGCCATAGTGGCCGCAGGCAACCTGCTTAAACTACACTGTATATTTCTCGCGCTCTCAGATTCAGATTCAGATTCAGACTCGGAAAACAAGCGCGAGAAATAAACAGTGTAGTCTAAGCAGGTTGCCTGCTTTTTCTCGCGCTTTGTTTTCTGAGTCTGAATCTGAATCTGAATCAGGAGTGCACTCTGGCCGTACCCTTCGATTACAGTGTTTATTTCTCGCGCTTGTTTTCGAAATCTGAATCTGAATCTGAGTGCACTCTGGCCGTACCCTAAGGGTGCGGCCAGAGTGCACTCAGATTCAGAATCAGATTCAGATTTTGAAAACAAGCGCGAGAAATAAACAGTGTAGTCTAAGCAGGTTGCCTGCTTTTTCTCGTGCTTTGTTTTCTGAGTCTGAATCTGAATCAGGAGTGCACTCTGGCCGTACCCTTCGATTACAGTGTTTATTTCTCGCGCTTGCTTTCGAAATCTGAATCTGAATCTGAGTGCACTCTGGCCGCACCCTAAGGGTGCGCAGATTCAGATTCAGACTCAGAAAACAGTCTCGTGAGATGTCAGCTTGAGCAAAGCAGGTGATGGCCACAGTGGAGGCAGATAATACAAGACGCGGACGCGAGCATTGTTGCCAGGTTGGAGGAGGTTACTCCAAATTTAGGGGGTTTTTAAAGCGATGGGGGGATTAATGGAGGAAGAAATTTTGTTTTGAGGGAAACGGGGGTTTTCTTTATTACATTTTTATATAAAAATAAAACCACTTCATAAACTTTTAATCTGTAAAAAGTCGCAATCGACAGTCATTCAACAGTCTCTCTTTCTCATTCGACGCGTTCGAAGCCGTTGATCCAGAAACTTAAATTGGGGGGTGTTTCCGCAGTTGTAAACATGGAGGAGTTTTCTAATGAAGATCGATCGGAGAATATGGGGATTACCATCATTTGTTTTCCTAGTTAAAAGTCGATAGGAAACGTTTCTTCCAATATTTTAGGATGGAAGTGGAAACGTTCTAACTACTACATTTAAAAAAAATTGAACCTCACATGATGAAGAATTAACATCAGTCTCTCCTTTTCATTCTGTATAGAGAATGGCAAGTATGCACTGTTGTCAAATTTAAGTTAAGGTTTAGAAAATCGTGTCAGAATTGACACCAGTATGTGGTTATAATATTTACTTTATTTTTGAAATAAATATATTTTTGTTGCTCTTTGCCTTACTAATATTATAATAACAATGGTCTCTCTGGACATCAGTCTCTCCTTTTCATTCTGTACAGAGAATGACAAGGATATACTGCTGTCAAATTTAGTTTTAAGTTTAGAGAATCACGCCAGAATCGACACCAATGTGTAATATTTTTAAGAAAGTTTTTACTGTCAAAACTATGCTTTAAGCAAAATATAGTAATTTCGCCTAGGTACTACGTATTTTTTAGAAATATAGTATTTGATCCTCTATTAAATTAGGATACTATATTTTATCGAGGGTTGGCAACCCTACCTGCAGTCCGAGCGGCGCTGGTGAATTCAGAATCTGAATGACCTAAACATTCCGGTAAGGTGTCTGACTCCGAAACCTGCGCGGGCCTGCTGCCACTATGGCCACTCTGCTTTAACTACACTGTTTATTTCTCGCACTTGTTTTCTGAGTCTGAATCTGAGTGCACTCTGGCCGTACCCTTAGGGTGCGGCCAGAGTGCACTCAGATTCAGATTTCGAAAACAAGCGCGAGAAATAAACAGTGTAGTCTAAGCAGGTTGCCTGCTTTTTCTCGCGCTTTGTTTTCTGAGTCTGAATCTGAATCTGAATCAGGAGTGCACTCTGGCCGTAAGTACCCTTCGATTACAGTGTTTATTTCTCGCGCTTGTTTTCGAAATCTGAATCTGAATCTGAATCTGAGTGCACTCTGGCCGCACCCTTACACAAATTATACAATCTTGTTCAGAATAATTAATATGTCACATTAAAAAATAGAGGGCTGAACGAACATATCGACAAAAAATGTTATTTATCTGTAAATAAACGAAAACTTTTTCAATCTGAAAAGTTCAAAAAGGTATTCGCTTAGTTGTACATTTACATTTTTGTTTTAAGTTCTCTGAATCTAAATTCCTGATCAGGTAACAGTTTTAATTTGCTATCAGCTTTAAAGCATTATTCTAAAAACAACATAACGGCACATACGTTTTATAATGGTTTAATGTATTTTTGTCATAGTGATATGTATCACTTATCCTAAACTTAAATTTGACAGCAGTATATCCTTGTCATTCTATATACTGAATGAAAAGGAGAGACTGATGTTTAATTTACTTTTAAGTATAAGAGAATCACGCCAGAATTGGCACCATAGATTACTTGCTCAGTGAGTGAAACCAGTGAAAAGTTCAATTCAATCTATTAATTGACATTAATGTCTCTGTGATTCTGTATCCAATCTTTTACGTAGTCTGTGCCTGTGACAGGTCTATCTATTTACATAAAACTCAATGATACTACTGTCTATGGTCATCAACGTCAAAAAGTATTATTTTTGTGATGGTAAATCTCTAAATCCAATTGTTCTCTCTAAAATTTAAGACAATATAATAATAATTTATTTTTGATATATCACTACGCAAATAAGATGACTTGCCGCCAAGCTTCTCATGCTGGAAGTTGGTACACTGAAAACGGTAAGTTGTAAATAAATAAATTCAACTGAACATGAAAATCATCGGTTTAAGTAAAAGTTAAACCCTTAATTATTGCAAATTGAGTCTGTCATAACCATAACAAAATTTACTTTACATCGTTTTTTAACATTTCTTTCAACTTTGATTGGAACCTGACACAAAGGTAGGTCTAAGGTGAATGACCTTTATTTTTGCAAGTTTACCATACTATAAATAAAGTTATCGAAAGTCGTCCTTTATTAGCACACGTAAAAGTTGAACTCGCTTTGAGTAATTTGATTTGATTTTTCTATTTCTTTTTCTTCATTTTAACAGATTTTAACCTACCCTTTTTCTTCGATAGTAATTGTAAAAATATATACAATTTTCTCTAAAAATTATGCTTTGTCTACGTAGATTTATAGCTATAATTAAATTTTTGGTTACAATAATGTTTTTTGTAATACTAAACTATTAAAGTATTTATAATTTGTTGTGGTGGTTCGTTAAAAGTAACTCATTTGACTAGTATAAAAATTTCGTTCAGGAATGTAATTTGACGTTAGTCTTGATCTAAAAGTCAATTATTTAATTAATAGCCCTAAAATTTTAGTTTTTGCAAGAAATAAACCAGCAAATAATTTTGCTTCAAATTTTCGCGGTATATTTTTTATATACTTGTCATTTTTTTTTCAATTATTTTCCATTTATAAACGAAACCGGAAATGTTCGTTACCATGACATCGATTTGAAAACGTCAAAGTGAACAAACAAACAACTGCAGTTTTGGTCGTTTGTCGTTCTTGAATTATTTAACCTTATTCTATTGCTGTCGTAATGTCCGATAAAGTGAAATCGTTTGCGGCGCCGTCGAAAACTGTGAAAACTAAAAGACCGTCAACTGTCGGCGTGCCCTCGTCGACGACGCGCAAAGTAACGAACCCGCCCAAGGAAAAGCCTAAATTTGCTGCTAAGAAAAATACTACAATTATCGCCGATGGTGATATGACTATATTGAGGCAAGAAGGCCTCGTGCCGGATTTCAATGCGGATGATAGGCAGATAGCTTATGGGAAATTCCTTCGTTCCATGTTGGAAGAATGCATAATTGATGAGAAAATAGAGCGCGAAGAAACGCAGATGGATCTGCAAATGGCGCAATTAGCTGAAAGGTTTCAGAAGACGATGGAGCAGTTGGACATGACCAACAGGAGATTGAAGGACATATCCTTTGTTGTGGATCAAAAGAGGTAAATTTTTTTTACTTATGTTTTCATGCTCTCCAATTATTTCATTAAAATCACTTTTAATGAATATATTGTGCTATTTATAAAATTTTTCATTATTCTTGAACTACTGAACAATCTCAAGGCTCGCTTTGGTGATTTTGCTACCATGAACATACTGAATCATGTTTATGCCTGTTCAAAGGTATATGTTTGTGTATAGCCCAGTTTGAAGGATAGATAGTCAAGGAATGTATTTGTATACACTATAATGATCAAGTATAATTTTATTACCGTATCTACTGCTTTGGCCATGATCTGTGTCAGCTATTGAATAAAATGTGGATGCTTTGGTTACGCCGTTCACATGAGTTGATAATAATAATAATCATCCTGAGTGCTCGTATTCACTTCACCAACATGAATACTTCGTCAGCTCCATTTCTAAGAATTTCTGAAGGGTAACAAAAGACCCCTACGGTTTGACAATTTATAATCATTACCACTTTTGAGCTCGAAATCAGTATGTAGAGTTGCATTTTTTAACCACTACTCTAATGGTTGATATACTCGTAGCCACCAGTGACTTTGTCCGCGTTAACTTATATTGAGAATCCCATAAAAATCAAAAGTTTTTCACAATAAAAAGTATCCTATGTCTCAATACAGGTCATAAACTATGTTCGTATAAAATTTCATCCAATTTCATTCATTTGTTTTTGCATGGTCGATTAATAAACATACTAACTTTCACAGTAATAATATTAGATGAATATATTTCCTAAAATAAGCATAATACCAAAAGGCTCTGAAAGAATAACAGCACTGCTGCGGCCTTGGTGTCTTTTTGGCATTGTGCTGAGGCAGGGACCTAGTTGACCTTAATCTGTGTATTTACTTATGCTTTTATTTCTATTTGTCAATGTTATTGGTCAATAAATTTTTCTTTCTCTTTCAAAACATCTGTTCTAACTCGGGAGTACCAAAATAGAAATTCCAGCATTTGCAAGTTCCACAAACAGAACATGAAATGAACAGAACCTGTTCTAGTTTAGGCATGTTAGAAAAGGTAGCGTTGATAACTCCTGATGAGCTGGCAATATTATATAATAGTAATAAATAAATATTTCCATCACACACAAATTAGCCTAGCCCAAAAGTAAGCACTGTAGGTTCGTGTTAAAGGATGCTAGGGTAACCGATAGAATAAATATATACTGATACATATATAAGTGCAGCTTTTTATTATTTCTTCAAGAGAAGTAGAAATAATCAACCCCAACACTATCACTTTACTTCTTCCCTTATTCTTATTTGCTATTTGTAAACTTGGCAATAGTCTGTCCTTATGATGATTTTCAAGAAGTGAAAGGAATGGGATGATGTTATGTTTACAATTAATAGCAAACACAATTAGCCAAGTAAAGTGCTGCTATGAAAATTATTTAACCAATTTATTTGCATGACTACTTAAGTCTTTATTATCTTATGATCTTTCACAATAGCATACTAATCCTGTTACAATCCAATTGTTCCAATGTGTCTCTTAAGTAACGAGATTTGTCAACATGCAGCACAAACATAAAATAGATGTATTTGAACCTTATATAAAAGCTTTTAGAACCAAAAGTTGGCATTTTTCCATAGTACATAATATTGTAAGTGCAATCAGTTGTACATTGTACTCAGATTGTCACTGGCTGTACAACAATTATAGTACTTATTGTAATTTGTTTCATTGTATAAGTTGCTCATACTTACCATGCTAAAGATACATATATATTGAAGACCTCCGTGGTCGAGTGGTTTGTACGCCGGGTTTCATGGTGTCGCCAACTCGAGAGGTCCCGAGTTCGAATCCCGGTGGGGGCAGATGTTTGTGTGATGAATACGAGCATTTGTAATCCAGTCATGGATGTTTAATATGTATTTCTATATAAATATACTTATATATATGTACTGTATATGTATTCTATCCGTTACCCTAGTATCCCATAACACAAGCCTTACAGTGCTTACTTTGGGGCTAGGCTAATTGGTGTGAGTGTTGGAAATATTTATTATTATTATATTTCTAGGTTATAGTTTGTTCCAGGGCTATTGTTAATTAAGTTACTGATTATATGCCTGATTTTTTTTCTTCTTTGGGAGCGTTTAAGTATTACGTAACGCAATTTTTACTTGTAAAGCGTTACGATGCATTACAGGGACAGGAGGGGGGTTCGATCAACCCGTTACTTAACATTGTTTTTTATTTAAATAAAAAAAAACTATTATTGAAATCTCCCAAGTTGGCAACCCTTTTCATCTATGATTTGTTAAAGTTTAAAAATTGCATTGCCAAAGTTTAAAGTAAACATGTTATTTTATTGAAAGAGATTATAAAAAAAAAAGTTAAAATAGGAAAATGCATGAGAAGTACAATGGTGGATGAAGCCAAAAAATGACAGAGCCAAGTCAGGAAAACGGCATGATTAAATAAATATATGTAATCATTAAATACGCATGTATTGCGAATTAGAAATCGATTGTTTTAATTATTAATTACTACTGCATACTCGATAAAAAAACAATAACAAAAGTAATTTAGCGACTTTCCAGTAGTTTGCGCAACATAGTTGTGAGATTGAGTCCCTCCCTTTACAAATAAATAAAAAAATAATTTTAATGATTTCAGGCTGCTTGACTTGAAAAGTACAGACACATCAAAGTTCTTCAACACAACAGACGATTCTAATGCACAGGAACTGCTACAAAACCTGAACACCGCAGAAAAGGCTTGTTTAGATAACTTGGTGACGAAGAATGTTGATTTCGGCTTCGATAAAGATAGCGGTCACCAGCAACTGCTTGATGCAGTGAACGATGCAATAGAAGGTCTCAATGAAATTAAGAAACATTCCAATTTGGATACAGCGAAGTTTGAGGAGTACCATAAGTCCCATGAGAGTATACAGAAGTTTGAAAAAGAAAAGTTTGACTTGGAAACTTTGAAGACGGACTTTGAAAAGAGGTTTCCCAAATTCAACGAGAAACTGTTGAAGGAAGCGTCCGAGAAGATAGCAAAGATGATGGAAGATGATGATGATGATTGATTGTTAAGTTACTGTTGTGTTTTGAGATTTGATTATGTATTTGTTGGTAATAAAATGTTAATATTATTATTATTTTGTATATTTTCTTGACAACCTCTACTAATGATTATTATAGTAATAGGTTAGGTTACAAGCAAGATTAAGAAGTTGAAATACATGATTTGCTCAACGAAATATGGTCTGCAAACCAAACTGCTACATAAGATGGGAACATCACAGAACACAGAAAGAGGTTAGAAGAGCTTTGTGACCTCATAACGTGAGCAAAACTTGGTTCTGATTGAGGCATTGTCCTAATACAATGCGATAACGCGATCATCGCGCGATTAAACGATGCGACCATCGCGCGATTAAACGATGCGACCATCGCGTGATCGCGAACTGGGTGTCCTAATAGAACGCGAATACGGAACGGGTTAGCCCTGCCCCTCTCCCCGCTTCCTATCGACGCGACGCGATCATCGCGCGAACTTCAGTTAGGACACCTCGAGCCCTTACCGCCAAATTATCGTAAGCGACACTTTTGTCGAAATGCGTTTTTTGTGGAAACTAATATTTTAAACCGTAACGGACCCATCTCTGTTGATATTTCCCTCCAAAAGAACACCGTTACAATATAATAGAGGGAAATATCAACAGAGATGGGTCCGTTACGGTTAAAAATATTAGTTTCCACAAAAAACGCATTTCGACAAAAGTGTCGCTTACGATAATTTGGCGAGTGTCGCTTACGATCATTTGGCGGTAAGGGCTCGACCTAATAATCATTAATAGGTTTGAATCGCTCATTCGCGTTATCGCGTTGTATTAGGACAATGCCTGAGTCGTTGCTCTCGGTTGTGAGGCCTGATTGGTTGGATTGTTTGATGTCGCGTCGTTTGATTGGCTATTATCTATTAGATGGAAGTGTAGTGGGGGCGAACCGGGGACTTCGGTTCCCGTACAAACGATCTGATCGATCACCCTTTTTTTTTTGTGTTCTGTGGGGAATATTGATTTGTAACGAAAATAGAAGAGATAGCAATAAAGATTTGGTAGTTTGTTGCGTTACTATACGTGTGAGTCTGTCTATAAGTTTTGTCACATATGTTAACTTAAATTGCTGAGACCAATGGCGCAGCAGCGTCAAATTCATTAATATTGTTATTACTAATGCAATAAAGAGCGCAAGGCATGTGAAAACCTTCGGCGGTCAGAAATAATAAAATGAAATCATAAACTATAGCAACAGCCAAAGCAATCCGATAGGTGGTAGGTCCCCATTAGAAGTTTAAAAAATTCATGGTAAAACATGGAGCGGCGCGGGCGCACAGCGCTTCGAAGCGGGCACGTTCGCCGCGCCCTCATATTAATTTCGCCCGCCCAATTTATACTAGCGCAGAGTCGAAGCGTTAATCAAATTATTAACATAAAAAATTCAACCTTATCTCGACAGCGGACGGCACATATTACTTCAGAGATATAAAAAGACGCGCGCTCATTCGACGGAATTCGCGCGTCTGCGCGAGACCAACACTGATTGGTGCGCGCGCATTCTCGCGAATCCGCGCGCTCACTAACGACTAGTACGAACTTACGCGTCATCAGGCGGAAATTAGACTGTGACTAGCAGACCAGTGAACCAAATGTTCACCAAAAAAAAAATGTATTTAATTAATTGAGAACTTCGGAGATTTTGTGTGGTTTCGTTTGAAATTCGTGATTTCTCGAAAACCGGAAGTGCTACGTTACTCAAATCCGGTTTGTAGTCTTATCAGACTATTCTTAACTTATAACTTAAATATTCTCTTTATCTATCTCTTACGGTTTGGCCGCTGAAACAGCACCACAGACAGACGGACGGACGGACTTGTCTAATAGATAAGAGATAATAGATCAACTGGCAAGTGATGCAATAGAACTGCTGCTGATAAAAGCGTATTCTCGCGAATACGCGCGCATTCGTACAACTTTGTTTTAGTTGTGGACAATAGGGATGATGACTAATTTTTTTTTCTTCGTTTATCAGGTAGATTATCAAAAAGTATTGGACACGTATTTTTTCTTTTTTCACATAATATAAACATTGCAGAGATATATTGATTTGAAAAGTCGCATGACGTCACGTTTGAGTACACTTTTATGAGAAAATTCACTCAAAAGTGACGTCACGAGCCCCTACTCCCAAACTTTGACGCGCTATAACTTTGTCATTTTTTGGTTGATTGCCGAAAGAAAAAATATGTGTCCATTATTTTTTGATCATCTAACTGACGGACTTAATAGAATTTCGTTTACTGTACCCCGTCATCATCCCTATTTTACGCATCGATGAGCTTCGACTCTGCTCTAGTATAAATTGACCTTAAGTCTTTATTTCCTTTAGGGGCCGATTTCTCGAACACTGGATAAATATTAACCTGTCTGTGTGACGGATGGCATCTCTCTCTATTTGATTGAGTATTAATTGATCGAACCGTTAAGTTTTATCAGAGTTTTGAAAAAAGCTCAGCTGTGTAGACTCCGTTTTGCTCGCGCTGCGTTGAAGCACACAGTACTCTAAGCACGAACCAATATCGAATTCGTAACGTTTGCGGGTCCGAAATATCTATATTGATATTGATTCGTGCTAAGGGTACTGCACCCTGTACCAATATCAAATTCGTAACGTTTGCGAGTCCGGAATGTCATTGTCAAATGTGTATTTATTTATAGTTCTCGTTACGTACTTTGTGGCACTGCTGTTCAAGGTTCGATACAAAATTTGACATTGCTATTTCGCACTCGCAAACTGTTAGAATTCGATAATGGTTCGTGCTAGCGAGACAGAACAGTACCCGTTCTGTCTCGCTCGCTCGTTTGAATATTTATTTACAAACGTGTGTGGGAGTTGCTTATGTAGTCGAGTTGGGTCATATTTTATTTGATCAGTGGCGGCGCTAGACCACATGTGGACGTCGGCGACATCAAGTTCGCGAGGCCTATTTTAATTCGCAGTAAAAAACCGTTAAATTAAGTGAGCCAAATTATAAAATAACGTATGAGTAAACGAGTTTTATTGTTGATAATTAAATGATGACAAAAAATAATTACGAACATAGAAATTTAATTACAAAAATAGTGTTGCCAGACAGACGATTCTGAATACCCGTAAAGTACTACTCGCTTCCATCACGCACTTGTTCGAAAATAATAAAAGTCATTATCATCTGCTTAGCTTTTTCCCGAAGTTGTTCGGGGTCGGCTACCTAAGCCAGGCCAGGAGAAACGAAGATAAATAGGTAACTTGTATAATTATTTTGCGAGGCCCCCTCAGGCGCGAGGCCGTCGGCGGTGGCCGACGTCGCCGACGCCTAGCGCCGCCACTGTATTTGATACTAGTATAAGTTTACCCGTATCTTCCCTTCTTCTTTTAATCTAAGAGCTACTTATTTAGTTTAACACAAACTGGCCAACTCTAAAAACAACAGAGCTGGTGCGGCTTGTGAAGCGGCTGAAAAAGCTAAGGCAGGCAAATACAGGGGTCTAGGCTCCGAATATGATTTTGTCCCATTCGGTGTCGAGACCCTTGGTCCGTGGGGTCCTAGCGCTATAAGGCTTTTTAAAGAAATAGCGGAAAGATTAGTCGACATCATAGGAGACCGAAGAGCTGGCAGCTACCTCGGACAAAGAATTAGTCTAGCTATCCAAAGGGGGAACGCTGCCAGTATCTTCGGAACCTTGCCTAAAGGGTTTTAGTTTTAGGTTCATTGTTATAGTATATTTTTTGTTTTAATTATTCTTAAATTTATTCATATTGCACTTTAAAAATTAATTCTCAGGTAATGAACTTTCGCGGCAGCTGGATCTTTGGCTCTCGAAGGCGGACTTAACGCATGGCCCAGCGAGAGCGATAATTGCACCGTAAGTAATTTTTTAAGGGTACCAATTTTTTGAGCTGTTATTTAAATATTCGAGATGGTGTTATGGTCAGTTGAAAAACGTATTGAGCAGTTATTTAATTTAATGGCGGTTTATTAATTATTGCGACAGTAAAACATGGACAGTTATAAAAAATCAATTAGTCGGTTATTTTATCATACAATGTGAAATTTAAAAATAATTGAGCGGTCCAATAACTGAATGAGCGGTAAAAAATATGGAAGGAGCGGTTCGATAAATAGTTCGGCATATCATAGCGAGCGGTGACACCCGAACTCAAATTCATTGAAAAGAGAGGTAAATGTTCGTTAGTTGGGCGGAGCTTATTAGCGCGGGTGGCCTGCTCTTATTATTTTAGCTGCTCCTAAGCAAAATCTATGTCATTTTATATAACTTAAGTATGTTTCGAATTACGAATAAAAGTTCTTATTATTATTATACAATTTGTTTTATTTCATTCCTTCAGTGAAAGCAAAAGTAATTTAATTTTTCATTACTATTTAAGTAGTGTTTTATTTTACCACCATATTGTCTATAGAATTGCTTAGAATGAGATTTCTTACCGACAAATTCCCATTTATTACTGCCCACACGTAACCGCTCGTTCAATAATTTCTATCGTCTATTTAATTATTTTCCTGCTCAATAATATATTCACTGATCCATTTCATTATGTTTTATTACTCGTTTTTGTTTACGTTACTGTTAGTTTTAACTGCTGAACTAGTTATTAAACGTGCCATTTATAATTTTTAACTTACCAAACTGCTATTTACGACTGCCTTTTTAAATCAGTGCCTTTTTTAAGTGAGGTAGGGCGTAGTGGATTTTTCGCACCTGGCTGGGGAAGTGATCTCCCCTTTACAGAAGATCAATACTATCTTTTTTTTGACGGGCTTGTGTTTCTATCGGTGAGGGTTCCAGGTCTCCACGGGGTAATATATCAAGTACAAACTTAGATTAAAACAAAAAGCGTAGATACGGTACGGTACGCTCATACTTGCATCAAACAAAAACTGATCCCACGGCAGCGTGAACGGGACGGCGAGATCCGCGTCACTGCATTACCGACCCGAACAAAACAGCACGTTAAGTTTCAACGGCAGCGCGAACGAGACGGCGAGATCCGCACTACCGAACAATCACGCGACCAGTACTCGACGTCACTACCGAATAAGATTCAAAACAAACAGCAATTTCTAAGAAAAAATATATTTTATAGTACTTACGAATGAAAAGTGATGCCGTGGGTTTTATTTTTAGTTCTTGAGCAATATGAGCACTTTTTAAAAACACACTTAGGCATTGTTTTATCATATATAAACACAAAATATTAGCAATATTTATTTTTGGCGTTCACATGTATGTCGTTTGCATGTCAAGTTGTGACTAAAGCGATTAGGGTCGTGGACCACAATTTGTGCGGATCACTTTTGTGAGGCTAGTGCCGTATCTACCCTTTTTGTTTTAATCTAAGAGTACAAACCAAGAATAGTACTTAAGACCGAGACAATAAATTACGGTTATAGAGTCTGTGCGGAAAGAGAATGGCATTTAGATTTAAGGGCGCTGTAGTGCTTTTCTACCGTATTTGTAAGGTTTTACCCCTTTCAGTCATGATTAAATTCAAAAAAATCGCAAGAAATCACAACAACAAACAAATCCGTATCAATACAAAACTTTGACGTTTTACAGATTGCTGGGTTTGATTGCCAAATAAAAATCTTAATGTTAGTTCCGTTTTTCGCCACGCCTATTCTATTTCCGCACAGACAAGTTATTATATGAAGTGAGGTCTTTTTGTCTGTACTTTTTATGGTATTTTTATAATATAAAGCACCTCCTAGAGAAGGAAATATTTTGTACTTGTGTAAGTACATTAGGTTTTTTTTTCTTATAATAAAACAATATAATAAAAGTTGAAGGTTTAATTTAGTTTTCAAAATAAATCATATTTTTCCTTTAAAAATAACTTTATTTAAACGTATTCAATCTTCTGTATATATATAAAACTCAAAGGTGACTGACTGACATAGTGATCTATCAACGCACAGCCCAAACCACTGGACAGATCGGGCTGAAATTTGGCATGCAGGTAGATATTATGACGTTGGCATCCGCTAAGAAAGGATTTTGATCAATTCTACCCGCAAGGGGATAAAATATAGAATGAAACTTTGGCAATTTTAAAACGATCGGGCTGAGACTTTGCATGCAGGTGTAAGAAGAATCATGGATGAATGTCATTGTGTATAATACAAGCCTGAGAACAAAAACTGTAGTCTACACTTCAGCTCTACACCGAAGCGAAGCGAGGGCGGGCCGCTAGTCTACTTATAAAAACAATATTAAAATTCAGCCTCAAAGATAATTTAGGACATCAACGTACAATAATCAAAGAATAACGGCATCACTCTGGTTAGGTACTGTAATTTTATTTATTTATTGACTTTTCGCATCCTTTGCAGGAACGTCAATCTATCTTAATATATATAAATCTCGTGTCACAATGTTTGTCCTCAATGGACTCCTAAACCACTGAACCGATTATAATAAAATTTGCACACCATGTGCAGTTCGATCCAACTTGAGAGATAGGATAGTTTAAATCTCAAATTATAGTCGCAATTTTAATTTATTGCAAATTATTACTTTTGGGCGGTACGAAGTTCGCCGAGTCAGCTAGTACATATAATAAAATGGTAGGAAAGTCAAAACTGTACATTGAATATTTTTTAAAAGAATACTTGGGTCGCGATCTACAATCGATACCGAAGCCAAAAATATAGATTTTAGAATTTATTGTCTGTTTGTCTGTATGTATGTCTGGGATGAACTCAAAAAGTACTGCATGGATTTACTCCAAATTTGGCACGAATATCATTAAGAAGTCGGGTCAACATATACGCTACATATTATCACGCTATCACCTAAGGGGAACGAGCAGTGAACAGGGATCAAAAAGTATGTGCAAATAACTAAATCCACGCGTGCGAAGTCGTGGGCGGCCGCTAGTAAATAAATAAAATCAGTGCATCTCACCCGTTGAAACTGGTTTTATTGAATGAGTGGTTCGCGTGAGAACCGTAAGAAACAAATATTTTATTCTAGTTTTGAAAAATCGTCCCTAAATCTAATATATAAAATTCTCGTGTCGCGGTGTTTGTGGTTAAACTCCTCCGAAACGGCTCGACCGATTTTCGTGAAATTTTATATGCATATTCAGTAGGTCTGAGAATCGGATGTAATCTTTTGACGTGACAACGTCTTAAATTAGGTTGCGGCTGGGAGTCACTTATGAAAAAGTGTAACGCTCGGTAACGTTACGATGAGTCTCTCGTGTTAAGTTTAAGTTTACATGTACAATGTTTTAGTAAACAAAATATATTTCTATAGTTAAAATTTGTGCAATTCTTATTTTCATTCAATTCCTTGTTCCTATTGTGCAATTTAATTATATTCATATCAATAAATATTCTACCGAGAAAAAGACGTTGTCACGTAAAATCTTCGCCCGTAAAACCGACTTTACAGGCAACCATTTTATTTTTTTTCATCCCCCTAAATGTTAAGGGTTGTCCACATTTAATTTTTTTTTTTTCAATTTTAGATATATATTTTTTTATTTTTTTATGATATATCATACAAAAATACGTACAGTCCTAAATTTTCACCCTTCTACCACCAACCCTTACTTTTTTATGGCGGTACGAAGTTCGCTGGGTCAGCTAGTCTTATATATAAAATTCTCGTGTCGCGGTGTTTGTGGTTAAACTCCTCCGAAACGGCTTTCCCGATTCTCATGAAATTTTGTGTGCATATTGGGTAGGTCTGAGAATCGGACAACATCTATTTTTCATCCCCCTAAATGTTAAGGGTAATCCACTCCTAATTTTTTTTTTCAATTTTAGATAATTTTTTATTTTTTATTTTTTTTATGATACATTAAACAAAAATATATACAACCCTAAATTTTCACTCTTCTACCACCAACCCTTATTTTTTTATGGCGGTACGAAGTTCGCTGGGTCAGCTAGTCATATATAAATTCTTATTGTATTTTGTTATTTATATTCAGGAGGCACACACTAACGACCCTTTTTTTATGTTTTTTTCTTTTCGCGGGCCTGATTTCAATATTAAATAAACAGTGCCCTTGTACAAATTTCTTGTTCCTGTTCTTATCTGTTTTATTGTGTGTGTACTAAATAAATAAATATGTGCCTTTTGTATATTTATTGTAGACACGCTGGATATTCTTACTGCGGTGCTTGCGCTGCGTTCGCCTACCGCCAAGTCAGTCCTGTGGTTGTGTGAGTATTCGTCAATCATCATCATCATTATTATTGATAAAATAATACTCCCCACACACACACACATACTCACACGCACACCAACATACACACACACACACACTTTCATACACACAAACTGACATCCACATACATGTAAAGTATAATATATGTCGGAGGATGTGACGAGTTGAGTTTCTTGTTGAATGCCAATCGCGAAAAGGCTATTGTTTACACTTTAAATAATTTTCTAAAATCTTAATTTAATTTGATTTAATTAATTACAATTTTTGTATTGTTCAGTAACTTAACAATTTAATAAAAGTCTCTTATAAATCATCTTATGTCGCGTCCAATCAGAGCAGAGCACGTGCCTCGAGTGGGGTCGAGGCGCCATCTTGATTTTCACAAGTGGGAGGTAGTTTTTGCGCGTGTTTAAAGGCTAGAAAGGTGATACGGTAGTTCAGTGAAGTCAGATTGGTACCTTGAACCCGCTGCTCGGTTGTTACGTTATTTAAGTGTCCTTAGTGTAAAGTAAAGTGTGTGTGAAACATTTTTATTTTGTTTTTGTTAAATGAAAGCAATTAAAATTATACAAACAGTGATTGAGTGATTGTTTGGTTTTGTGCCTGTATCAAGCCCCAATGACGCCCACTAAGCCCGTGAACGCTAATGACAAAGTGAATAGTCGCTCTCCGACATATATCTTTATATATATAATTCTTTTGTGAGTGTGTATGTCACTGAACTTCTCTTAAACGACTGGACCGATTTTGATGAAATTTTTTGTGTGTGTTCAAGGGGATCTGAGAATGGTTTAGATTCACAATTTTGTCCGCTGGACAACCCCTATTTTTTTAGGGCGGTACGAAGTTCGCTGGGTCAGCTAGTATATATATATACTCCATAATTATTCGATGCTTACCATACAAACCCTTAGAGTATCATTGTCTAGGTGTAATATTTCCTGTAAAAATGGGGGCCCGGTGGCCTGTAACACGGGTCTATGAACCTACACCGTCACCAGTCTCCCACGAATGACGACATCTATATATATGTGTTACCGGCCAAACCCGATTTCAGGACAATCTAGTTTTGCCTAGGCTAAACTGGTTCTTCCTATACGCGATAGGATTAACTAGTATAGCCTAGTCCAAACTAATTTATCCTAAGCGCGACAGGATAAACCAGTTTAGCCTAGGCCAAACTAGATGATCCTGATATAAATACGCACACTCTAGGATAAACTAGTACGACCTAGTCTAAACCAATTTAGCAAAGCGGAAAGTAATTGAACAAACATGTCAGGACTTGTACAGGGCGCGTCATGTAAAAAGAACGCTGGAAGAAAGTGGAGGGAGTGTTTTTTCTGTAATTGGTTTTTGTTTAACTCTTTTGTTGTTGCCGGGAGTTCGGAAGACTGTAAAGCCGGGTACGCATTAGCGATCTGTTACCGTAACATGCGTGATACAGTACGAAGTTCTAGTGTGTACGCTAGTAGCTCAGTTGTGAACGTTGGCTCGCTTCAAACCGCACGCGTACCGTTCTCGCAGCAGGTTATCGAACCACGTACACACTATGCTTTTTGGTTACAGTGCGTGCAACGGTTATGGTTACAGCTCGCCAATGAGTAACTACCCGGCTTAAGAAATTCCGAATCATTCGAACCTTTTACAATTCATCTCACTGTAAACTCAAAATATTTTAAGAAAAGTTTATTAGAAAAAAAAACCACGCAGACCAGGCAGCGGACCGGACTCGAACCCGCACCCTTCGCAATCCGGGCGAATGCACTGACCATTATGCTACCACGGCCCTATTCGCCGCGTCGAAATTTTCCTAGCCTTAAGCTGCAAGGCAGCGCCATCTCTTCGCATTGTAGGTTGCAACCACGCAACCCACAATGTCAAATGAATACTTTTTCAAGTATTAAACATTTGAAAGAAGAAATAGCAATTATAGTTAGTGTTTTTATTTATTTTTAAGCATTTAACTGCTAGGTGTTTAAATCTAAAGAAAAGTTTACTAGAAAAATTAAACTTTTCTTACTTTTCTTTGTATTACTAATTATCCATAACTTGTAACGATGAATCATTATGGTTTTAATAAAAATATTATTTTTCCAATTACGGATTATTTTATTCAGTTTATCTATTTATTTTGACTTCCTAGATATACTATAATGTTTACACTAGGCCATACTAGTTTATCCTAGAGTATGCGTATTTTTATCAGAATCAACTAGTTTGGCCTAGGCTAAACTGGTTTATCCTATCGGGCTTAGGACAAATTAGTTTGGACTAGGCTATACTAGTTAATCCTATCGCGCATAGGAAGAACCAGTTTAGCCTAGGCAAAACTAGTTTGTCCTGAAATCGGGTTTGGCCGGTAACATATATATATATAAAACTCAAAGGTGACTGACTGACTGACATAGTGATCTATCAACTCACAGTCCAAACCAGTGGACGGATCGGGCTGAAATTTGGCATGCAGGTAGATGTTATGACGTAGGCTTCCGCTAATATATAATATTATAGACTGAAACCAATTGAATCCAGTTATCAGTTGATTTTTAATGCTGTATTTTCAATAAAAAGGAGTGCCAAGATTGTTTACCAAATAGGACAAGGTAGGATGAACAGACTGTAGTATCTAGTAACAGAACTTTTATTTTAAATTTTTTTAAACAGACTGTCCGTTTACTATGGTTAATTGCTAATAAATTAAATAAATATTTCCAACACTCACACCAATTAGCCTAGCTAGCCCCAAAGTAAGCACTGTAAAAGGCTTGTGTTATGGGATGCTAGGGTAACGGATAGAATACATATACAGTACATATATAAGTATATTTATAAAGAAATACATATTAAACATCCATGACTGGAGTACAAATGCTCGAATTCATCACACAAACATCTGCCCCCACCGGGATTTGAACCCGGGACCTCTCGAGTCGGCGACACCATGAAGCCCGGCGTACAAACCACTCAGCCACGGAGGTTGTCAATTAAAAAAATAATAGAAAATAGTGCATGCTGTGGCCGATTTCGTCGATGTCCTTTGCAATGTAGTGAATTAAAGATCTAGACGAAATTATATCTAGTAATTTTGCGATGAAGTCATTAACGGGGGTAAATCACACAAACGAACTTGAAATCAGCCCTTTTAAATAAATTAATACTAGTAAACCAGTGAACCATATGTTCACCAAGACCTTTGTATTTAATAAATTGAGAACTTCGGAGATTTTGTGTGGTTTCGTTTTAAATTCGTGATTTCTCGAAAACCGGAAGTGCTACGTTACTCAATTCCGGTTTGTAGTCTTATCAGACTATTCTTAACTTATAACTTAAACATTCTCTTTATCTATCTCTTACGGTTTGGCCGCTGAAACAGCACCACAGACGGACGGACGGACGGACTTGTCTAATAGATAAGAGACTAGCAAACCAGTGAACCAAATGTTCACCAAAAAAAAGAGGATTTAATTAATTGAGAACTTCGGAGATTTTGTGTGGTTTCGTTTGAAATAGAAATATAGTTATATAGGTAGATTATAAAGATCGATTCAACGACGATCTGCGATTGTAAATGTTAAACAACTCTCGCATTGTCGGTCATCGGATGGGTGACCAAAAAATTACTATCTCTCACTCCTCCGGCTGCATCTGCTGTCGTTAGCACCCATCAATAGTATCCGCGTGGTGGGTCATGGCCCAGTCTCCCTATTCCATCTATAGGGAAGGCCTGTGGCCCAGCAGTGGGGACATTAATACGCTGATAACAATAATAAAATAACTTTATTTCTCACCGCAAATGACAAAAAAGGTTTACAAAAATCTTAAGCGAATTATATTATCACTAGCGGCCCGCCCTCGCTTCGCTTCGGTGTAGAGCTGAAGTGTAGACTACAGTTTTTGTTCTCAGGCTTGTATTATACACAATGTCATTCATCTATGATTCTTCTTATACCTGGCATGCAAAGTCTCAGCCCGATCGGTTTAAAATTGACAAAGTTTCATTCCCTATTTTATCCCCTTGGGGGTAGAATTGATCAAAATCCTTTCTTAGCAAGAAAAAACTATGATGAATTTGCAAAAAAAAGTCAAACCCATAACTTTAACACTAGATTTAAGAACAAGCTTGTCGTTCCATGTTTCAGACTCCAAAAATCAAGAGGTTCATTTCTGGGTTGTAGTATTGCATTGTTTAACAAAGTTCCCCAAGATCTGATTGAGCTTCCACTGACTAAATTTAAATCTCAGATCAAAAATACTCTTATGAATAAGGGCTATTATAAAGTTGATGATTATCTAAATGATCGTAATGCATGGACATAGTGTTTCTTATAATTTGATATTAAATGGGTATTACTCATTTTTCATAACAGTAATATTGTACCTATCTAATGCCGCTTCCTATATACTACTTAAAATGTTAACTATAAAATTAATTGTAACTATTTATATTCTAGATGATGTAATGGAAAGTGACTTCAGACGTATTTCTGAAGTAATTTTTCAAATTGACGACACTGTATATAACAATACAGGGAGAAAAAAACAGCCCTTGCTGAGTTTCTTGCCGGTTCTTCTCAGTACAAGGTCTCCCGCCGTAGTTTTGCGAACCGATGGCGTAGCTTCTTGACCTTCACAAGTGCTTGTAACAGCCTAGACTGAATAAATGACATTTCATTTCATTTCATTTCATTTCAATAACGATTTATTGTAATAGTTTATTAGCTTCGTTATTATTTTATTTTTAAATGGGTGATTTTGTTATAAAGTTGTGCCAAGATTTTTTACCAAATAGTAGGGATGTCGAAAGTTGAAAAAAATATCGATATATTGATACATCGATCTTTTAAAAAATATCAATATCGGCTTCGATATATCGCGAAAAAAACATCGATATATCGGACCAATTTTCCCAAAAATATCGTACAGTAGCTCACGAAATATGACACGCGGAATAATAATGGAACGAAAATTATTTCCCTAAAAATAGACCCTATTTTCGAATGATTAAAATGATTGCAGGGCCTCTCAGGTAAATGATTGCAGGGCCTCTCAGGTAAATGATTGCAGGGCCTCTCAGGTAAATGATTGCAGGGTCTCTTTCGTTAACAAGACTAGACAGTCACACACTTCACAGAATATAATGGAAATCAGCACAACCAATTCACCAGCGAAACATATTTACAAATTATAGACAATACTAAATACAGCACAGATCATAGATATGTTGAATATCATTAATCTGAGATCCAGTTACGATTTTTCCAGATTTAGTTAGATCGTGATATGCCGCTAATAATTAAAAAAATATCGTTTTTGATACGAATTTCGATATTGGTTATTTTGTATCGATGTATCGATATATCGAATCAAAATATATCGGCAAAAAATATCGATATATCGAACAAAAAATATCGATATATCGATACATCGATATATTTTCAACAAGCCTACCAAATAGGACAAGTTAGGATGAACATACTGTACACAATTTGATGTCATGTCATCTTAAGAGCCTTAAGAGACTGTCTCATCTAAATTCAAAAGCTTTGGCCAATGACGTTCAAAAATTATTTCAAATATCTATCTTCTATCTCCCGCTCTTCCGTGCTTCGGAATGCACGTTAAGCCGTTGGTACCGGCTGCATCTGCAGTTGTTAGCACCCGCCAATCCGCACTGGGCCCGCGTGGTGGGTCATGGCCCAATCTCCCTATTCCATCCATAGGGAAGGCCTGTGCCCCAGCAGTGGGGACATTAATCGGCTGATGAAATCGTTGTCTGAATTGGCTGGTAAAGTTTCTCAGGTAACTCAAAATTCACAGTGTATATATACATAAGTTTTAATATTTGAACTATTCATATTGTTGTAAAGAAAATTTTACTGGATAAAATTCCACGCGGGCCAGACAGCAGACGGGACTCTAACCCGCACCCTTCGCTATCCGGGCGAATGCACTGTTCATTATGCCACCGCGGCCCTGACCGCCGTGTCGAATTTTCTCCAGTATTTCCCCACAATTTTAAAATGAATACCTTTACAAGTATTAAACATTTGAAAGAAGAAATAGCAATTGTAGTTATGTTTTCATGTTTAATACTTATTTTTTTTATTTTTTGTTGCCAGAAAACGCATTTTCATACTGGGCCCTTCCCATCATGTGAGGTTGGGGGGGTGCGCTCTTTCGTCTATGGATAAGTACCAGACGCCGCTCTACGATCTCATCATAGACAAACAGAGTAAGTTACAAGTTACTATTAAAAAATATAAACATACACTTTGTCCGATATTTTTGAAGATTTCTTACTAGCTACCGCCCTTGACTTCTCCCGTGACTTCCGAGCAGTTTGTACGCCGGGGTTTCATGGTGTCGCCGACTTGAGAGGTCCCGGGTTCGATTCCCGGTGGGGGCAGATGTTTGTGTGATCAATATGAGCATTTGTACTCCAGTCATGGATGTTTAATATGTACTTCTATATAAATATACTTATATATGTACAGTATATGTATTCTATCCGTTACCCTAGTATCCCATAACACAAGCCTTATAGTGCTTACTTTGGGGCTAGGCTAATTGGTGTGTGTTGGAAATATTTATTATTTATTTATTAGCTACCGCCCGTGACTTCTCCTGCGGTAACAGTAGTTTTTTTTAAATTTTTTCGCGATAAAAGGTATCCTGTGTCTCGATACAGGTCATAAAATATATGCGCACTAAATTTCATCCAAAGCCGTTCAGCCGTTTTTGCGTGATTTAGAAACAAACATGCAAAATTTCACATTAACAATATGCAGTAAGATGTATGCACGTAAAATAAAAAAAAATGTGTATTTTTATTTTTTAAGCAATCAACTGCTATGTTTAAATCTAAAGTAAATACTAGAAAAAATACAGGCAGCAGATGGGACTCGAATCCACACCGTCCGCTGTCCTGGCAGATGTACTGACCGTTATGCTACCGCGGCCCTGATGGTTGTCTCGAATTTTCTCTAGTATTTCTTAGGCTGCATGTACCTATAAATAATAAAAACGCATTTTAAAAGCAATTTTCTTGTCGTTATTCCAGTTTATGCCGAACTAGAGGCGACACGACAGTTCGAATGGATGGACACACAGACAGACGAAGATGAACATTCCATAGAGATGCATTTGCCGTACATAGCGAAAGTCATGGAGGAGTAAGCAATTATTATAATATAAACATTATTATAATGTTATGTCAAATTAGATAGGTACATATTTGTTTCTTAGGTTTTCACGCACATCACTCATTAAATAAAACTAGTTTTTACGGGTTAATGCACGAAACTTTATTTATTTATTGACGTTTCGTAGCCTTTACAGGCTTCGTCGTCAGAATAAAACTTTTATTTAATTTGTCGAGCTACCTTCGAAAGACTTTTATTGAGCGTTCGGTTATTTCATTGATCGATTTTTAAGTTTTATTGTTTATGTATGAATTTATTATTTAATTTACTTAATAAAGTATTTTATTTAAAATTCTTGTTTGTAATTTTGAGTTTATTTATTTGACCCTAACTACCGTAAACTACCACCGGTTCCAAAATTGGGAGACCTTCCTGAGAAGAACCAAGTGAGTTTGTTTCGCCGGTTCTTCTCAGGAAGGTCTCCCAATTTTGGAACCGGTGGTAGTTTACGGTAGTTGGGGTCAAATAAACTGTATACTGTAAAGGCTACGAAACGTCAATAAATAAATAAAGTTTCGTGCATTAACCCGTAAAAACTAGTTTTATTTATTAGATAGGTACACTCGCGGAATGTCCCGCTCTGTCACCCATAATGCCACATAACTCGTATTTGCCATAATTAAGCCGAATTGTTACCAATTATTCACAACATTATTTTAATTAGAAATAAACCCGCGTATTCAACCAACAAGCAAGAACATTTGACATTTCGGAGACCTCACGCTACACTAGCGCCTCTAGCGGCGGATTCATACGCGATAGCCCTCATTCAATTCGTTATTCAATCAATGAAATGCTCTCTGTCTTACTTTTGTGCGGCGGCCCGGATTGGCGCGTCCGACGCGAAGGCGGGGCGTAGTAAAAACTACTGTAGAAAAAAGTTCGAAGCATTTCGTTCGCCAAGTGACAGAGCGCAAAATTCCGCGATAGTACATAGAAACAAGGTCAAATTCGAATCGCCTTTTGTAAAACTATTAATTAATACTAGCAAACCAGTGGACCAAATGTTCACCAAAACCTGATTTAAAAATGTATTTAATTAATTGAGAACTTCGGAGATTTTGTATGGTTTCGTTTGAAATTATTTAAATAGTTAATTAAAATTGTGATAATTACAAAATAGAAATCACGTGATTTCTCGAAAACCGGAAGTGCTACGTTACTCAAATCCGGTTTGTAGTCTTATCAGACTATTCTTAACTTATAACTTAAATATTCTCTTTATCTATCTCTTACGGTTTGGCCGCTGAAACAGCACCACAGACGGACGGACGGACGGACTTGTCTAATAGATAAGAGATTAAGATGAAATAAATAATAATGTCAGTTCAATCAAACAATTACTAATGTCATATCATTTCAAGAATTAAAAATATTAACACCAATTAAGAACAAATCATGTTAAATACACTTCATCATTAGCCTATTAATGTCCCCACTGCTGGGGCACAGGCCTTCCCTATGGATGGAATAGGGAAATTGGGCCATGACCCACCACGCGGGCCCAGTGCGGATTGGCGGGTGCTAACGACTGCAGATGCAGCCGGGACCAACGGCTTAACGTGCCTTCCGAAGCACGGAGGAATGAGAGATAGTAATTTTTGGTCACCCATCCAATGACCGACCACTGCGAAAGTTGCTTAACTTCAACGATCGCAGCCGAACGCGCTAATCACTTGCGCCATCGAGCTCCTCAAATGTCAAATACACTTATGTAACACTATTTTAATCTTATAATATAAAAATGAATCGCTGTATGTGTTGCTAAGCGCAAATCTCGAGAACAGCTGAACCGATTTCGATAATTCTTTTTTTACAATATTCCTTGAAGTACGAGGATGGTTCTTACGAAGAGAAAATAAAAAAAAAATGCCTGAAAAAGTCCAAAAACAACACTTTTCTATACTCCCATACAAACGATTCGTAATAATACTTAAAAGTCAATTTGAACTTTAATACCATACCATAAATTTCAAATGTTAGTGTAGAGATTCTGGGAAGGCAAAACAATTGAGTGACGTGGTGTCAATAGAAGTTTGGAAAACGCAAATAAACCATTTTCAGTTTTTTTTTATAATTATATGAAGAGTTGTTTTAGTCTACAATACAGCTCTACACCGAAGCGAAGCGAGGGCGGGCCACTAGTTATTAATAAATACATTGTCAGATTCAGAAATAATCAATAATCAATGAGCTTTTTTCTCAAGAAACTCAAGTGCAGCCGCAATTACCTTCTATTATTATATTATTAGTAAATAACTAGCAGACCAGTGAACCAAATGTTCACCAATTAAAAAAAAAAAAAATTGAGTACTTCGGAGATTTTGTGTGGTTTCGTTTGAAATTCGTGATTTCTCGAAAACCGGAAGTGCTACGTTACTCAAATCCGGTTTGTAGTCTTATCAGACTATTCTTAACTTATAACTTAAACATTCTCTTTATCTATCTCTTACGGTTTGGCCGCTGAAACAGCACCACAGACAGACGGACGGACGGACGGACTTGTCTAATAGATAAGAGATATAATAATAGAAGGTTTGAGCTATTTATGACACATGAGACACAATCATGACACTTGTGAGACAATAGTGACACAATAATGACATGTTTGAGCCAATAGTGACAAGTAAAACACAATAGTGACATTATAATGATACAATGAGGCAATGATCATAATTAATGATTGAGCTTTCTTCTCAAGAAACTCAAGTGTAGCCGTCATTAGCTTCTGTATATTGTTTGAGGAAATAAAGCGACTTCTCCAATAAATAACTAAATGTATTTTCTCAACTTCAATTACATTATTTGAATATATATACGTCTAATATTAAAGATTCGAAGTTGAGTGACTCCCTGGCCAAGAAGTACACCGCTTTTCGTCCGTCGGCTTATACAGAGTGTTACAAAAATACAAATAAAGCTTGAAGGGCGATGAAGTACATCATATAAGGATTCTTCTTTAATTTTCTTATAATATTTGCATGAACTTTTAATTTTTTTATAAAAACAGTTATTTTTAATCATTCTCGAACTAGTGACGTGTCTTAAAATGATCGATATTTTTATTAATCATTTAAAATAACTGTTTTTATAAAAAGTTAAAAGTTCATGCAAAAATTTTAAGAAAATCAGAGAAGACTCCTTATATGATGTAATTCAACGCCCTTCAAGCTTTATTTGTATTTTTGTAACAGCCTGTATATTGATATACAGCGCCATCTCGTCCCTTCCGGTGACAGCTGCTCCCAATGGTGAGAGATTGTTGCAAAAATGACGTGCGTGACGTGCGCCGCTAGATGGAGCCACTTATGAACAGCTTCGTTAAACCATCGGCCAACAAGACGATATTTTTGCATTGAGCAAACATGATGATGTTTTATTTTATTTATTTATTTTATTTATTTATTCATACCTAATGCACAAATGTACAAAGGCGGACTTAATGCCATAGGCATTCTCTACCAGTCAACCATACAGTCAACCATAGGGTGTTGTGGATAAATAGTGGTAGGGTGCACAAATTAGATGGAAAAAAAAGACACACAGATATAAATACGAAGTAGTCATATACATAATTACACATACATAAATAAGTACTTACATATAAATAAACATACATGTAAATTCACACATACATACATATATACATATATAAACATACATCTATACTTATAATAAATCTGTAGAGAGGTCAATTCTGTACATGAAATATATTTTCAAAATAACTATCAGGGGGTGATTATTGATCGATACTGATGCCAAAAATGCAATCAGTAAGATTTTTGTCTGTATGTCTGTGTGTATGTTCCTTATAGAAACAAAAACTACTCGACGGATTTTAACGAAACTTGGTACAATTATTCTTCATACTCCTGGGCAGGTTATAGTATACTTTTTATCACGCTGCAATCAATAGGAGCAGATTAGTGAAGAGAAATGTTGGGAAAACGGGAGAAGTTACTCCATTTTTTAAGCTTCCGTCGCGTGTGCAGCCTTAATGGTTAAAGTTACATAGAAATCATTTATGACGGAAATATTCTACATAAAATTGTCTAAAAAATATCCCGCAACAGCATATGTCTATCTTTTATGATTGACTCACAATAACACGTGTAATTATATAAATAAAGTCATTGTTTATAGCACAAGCCTGAGAACAAAAACTATAGTTTACACTACAGCTCTACACCGAAGCGAAGCGAGGGCGGGCCACTAGTACTAAATAAATACATAATAATGACGACTAACGTTTAGGCTAGACTGCTTGTTCCTGTAAAAAGCTTCGTAGCTTGGTTTTGAAGCTTATTTTGTTGGTGAACATTCTGATATCTAGAGGGAGTTCGTTCCACAGAAGTATGGTATTTATAAAGCATTTTGCCCTATCGCCATACCATTTGTCGCTAACACTCGTTCAGGTTGACTGGTAGAGAATGCCTATGGCATTAAGTCCGCCGTTTGCATATGTATGGCAATGAAGTTTAAATAAATAAATAAAATGATGAGTCGGATCGTTATGCCTTTTTTATTTCGTTTCAGGTACAAAACCGGTTTCACCATAATACCCATACTAGTCGGATCTCTAACGCCAGAGAAGGAAGCCAAGTGAGTGTTTTTAATACATATTTATCGTTATGTTTTTATTTACCTTTAAGCATTTAACTGCTAGATGTTTAAATCTAAAGAAAAGTTTACTAGAAAAAAATCCACGCGGAACAGGCAGCGGACGGGACTCGAACCCGCACCCTTCGCAATCCGGGCGAATGCACTGACCAATTATGCTACCACGGCCCTGATGGCCGCGTCGAAATTTTCCTAGCCTTAAGCTGCAAGGCAGCGCCATCTCTTCGCTTTTTAGGTAACCCACAATATCAAATGAATACTATAATAATAATGATTTTTTTTTTCTAGTAAACTTTTCTTTAGATTTAAACATATTTATCGTGTATATATATATACATATTTGTCATATTATTACCTGAGTCTGGGCGTTTGTGTTTCGTGATCGGTCATTGGATAATAAATAAATAAAAATATTTCCAACACACCAATTAGCCTAGCTCCAAAGTAAGCACTGTAAGGCTTGTGTAATGGGATGCTAGGGTAACGGATGGATTACATATACTGTACATATATAAGTATATTTATGTAGAAATACATATTAAACATCCATGACTGGAGTACAAATGCTCGTATTCATCACACAAACATCTGCCCCCACCGGGATTCGAACCCGGGGCCTCTCGAGTCGGCGACACCATGAAACCCGGCGTTTAAAACCTTGACCACGGAGGTCCTCTAAATTTATGATATTAGTGTGGTAAGTTGCTTATTACAGACCAGTAGACGAATGCTTACAATGGTCACGAGGTTTGTAAACACCAATTCCGCACGAATGTCATACAAAGTGGGCCGTCCATAAATTACGTCATCGATTTTTCAGATTTTAGACCCCCCCCCCCCCTACAATCATCCTATCGTCATTTCTTAATGACCCCCCCCCCCCCCCCCCCTTCTCCCAAAATTGACGTCATTACCAGTTTGACAAAATTAAAACATTGCAGATTTGAGAAAAGCTAGTATTATATGTAATACTAGCCAACCCGGCGAACTCCGTTTCGCCACCAGATGGCTTCGTTTTATGTAACATTTCGTTTGGTGATTAAAAGTTTTTTTTAATTTTTCCTGAATTTTCTTTGCTATAAACCTCACGGAGCCCGAGACCTTTCCAACGAATGCAAAACCGTGGCAATCGGTTCGTGCGTTCTGGAGTTATAGCGTCAGGAAGGAAAACCCGACTTATTTTTATATAGTAGATTATTGTAATAACTAAACTAACTCACATAAATAAAATCATAACTATAATTGCTATTTCTTCTTTCAAATGTTTAATACTTGAAAAAGTATTCATTTGACATTGTGGGTTACCTACAATGCGAAGAGATGGCGCTGCCTTGCAGCTTAAGGCTGGGAAAATTTCGACGCGGCTAATAGGGCCGTGGTAGCATAATGGTCAGTGCATTCGCCCGGATAGCGAAGGATGCGGGTTCGAGTCCCGTTCGCTGCCTGGTCCGCGTGGATTTTTTTCTAGTAAACTTTTGTTTAGATTAATCATCTAGCAGTTAAATGCTTAATAAATAAATAAAATCATAACTATGAATTACTATGTTGTAAATTGAAGAGGTACATACAATTATAACGACGATTACGGCACAGAAGAACAGTTCAATCACGTTGGGGTCACCAGTGTAGGAAGGCCAAAGGGGAAGATCTTCCTCCGACCTGGATGATGATAGCTAGGGCCGCGGCCCGACTGATGTTTGTCGAGTATCGTATATATGGAGTGTTGGGCTCCGAATTTCTCTTGGCTTCCATACGTTGTGAACGCAGCGCCGGTAGTGCAAGGGCGGATCCAGCTTTGGCGCCAGGGGGGGGGTCATATAGCCAGCTTTGGCGCCAGGGGGGGTCATATAGCCAGCTTTGGCGCCAGGGGGGCTCATATAGCCAGCTTTGGCGCCAGGGGGGCTCATATAGCCAGCTTTGGCGCCAGGGGGGGGTCATATAGCCAGCTTTGGCGCCAGGGGGGCTCATATAGCCAGCTTTGGCGCCAGGGGGGCTCATATAGCCAGCTTTGGCGCCAGGGGGAGGTCATATAGCCAGCTTTGGCGCCAGGGGGGCTCATATAGCCAGCTTTGGCGCCAGGGGGAGTCATATAGTCAGCTTTGGCGCCAGGGGGGGGTCATATAGCCAGCTTTGGCGCCAGGGGGGCTCATATAGCCAGCTTTGGCGCCAGGGGGAGGTCATATAGCCAGCTTTGGCGCCAGGAGGGCTCATATAGCCAGCTTTGGCGCCAGGGGGAGGTCATATAGCCAGCTTTGGCGCCAGGGGGGGGGTCATATAGCCAGCTTTGGCGCCAGGGGGTGGGGTCATATAGCCAGCTTTGGCGCCAGGGGGGGTCATATAGCCAGCTTTGGCGCCAGGGGGGTCTTATAGCCAGCTTTGGCGCCTGGGGGTCGTATAGCCAGCTTTGGCGCCAGGGGGGTCTTATAGCCAGCTTTGGCGCCTGGGGTGTCGTATAGCCAGCTTTGGCGCCAGGGGGGGGGGGGGGGTCATACAGCCAGCTTTGGCGCCAGGGGGGTCATATAGCCAGCTTTGGCGCCAGGGGGGGTCTTATAGCCAGCTTTGGCGCCAGGGGGGTCATATAGCCAGCTTTGGCGCCAGGGGTGTCATATAGCCAGCTTTGGCGCCAGGGGGGGGTCATATAGCCAGCTTTGGCGCCAGGGGGGTCATACAGCCAGCTTTGGCGCCAGGGGGGGTCATATAGCCAGCTTTGGCGCCCAGGGGGGGTCATACAGCCAGCTTTGGCGCCAGGGGGGGTCATATAGCCAGCTTTGGCGCCAGGGGGGGTCATACAGCCAGCTTTGGCGCCAGGGGGGGTCATATAGCCAGCTTTGGCGCCAGGGGGGGTCATATAGCCAGCTTTGGCGCCAGGGGCGGTCATATAGCCAGCTTTGGCGCCAGGGGGGTCATATAGCCAGCTTTGACCCCAGGGGGGGGGTCATATAGTTGTGGTATATTAAATATTGAAAGTACTTAAATAAAATCCCCCTGGGGGGGTCATGACCCCCATGACCCCCCCCCTGGATCCGCCCTTGCGGTAGTGCCATCTCTTGCGGGGGCGAGTGACTATTTCCTCCATGTTGATTATACAGGGTGGTCCAATTAGTGACATCAACAATTTTTTTTTAGATTCCTCGCACCTTGGAGTATCCGAAAATACCCTATATATGTTCCGCGATTTTTCTTAGTTTTCGAGTTGTATTTTTTTGTGTATTTTTAAATGATTTTTGTCAGCGAGGTTTCAAAAATTCATATCTTTTTTCGTAGTAGGTATTTTGCAGTCTTTTTTTTTTGTAACATGATTGTCTTGAATGTTCCTGAAATTACTTAAAGTTACTTAAAAAAAGGCTTGAAAGTTGGAACTTTAGTTTTTAGTAGGATTTACCCAAACATTCAACTTAGATTTAAAAATACAAAAAGGAGTTTCCATAGCTTCTGATTAAGTTTAAAAACTCCGCATGCTCCTGAACTACCAAATAATCATTAAAAAAAATAGTACTTAATCAGCCTATTTTTGTTGTATTTGACCTTCGAAGGCTAAAAATCATTGAAACATGATTAAAGCATTAAAAATTATTTTAGCTACTTTTTATCATTCTTTGTGGTAAATTAAACTTAAAAATCTAATTTCAAATTTAATTTCAAAGTAATTTTACAATAATTTCGGTTTCACCACTAAGATTTAAAATGCGAACACGCTGGCAGAAATCATCATCATACACAAAAAAAAAAATAACTCGAAAACTAAGAAAAATCGCGAAACATCCATGGGGTATTTTCGGATACCCCCAGGTGCGAGGAATCTAAAAAAAATTGTTGACGTCACTAATTGGACCACCATGTAGATGTCGTCGCCACAACTATAAAAAAATTCAAAATTCAATATCGTTTATTCAGTCTAGGCTGTTACAAGCACTTGTAAATGTCGAAAAGCTACGCCATCGGTTCGCAAATCTACGGCGGGAGACCCTGTACTGAGAAGAACCGGCAAGAAACTCAGCAAGGGCTGTTTTTTTCTCCCTGTATTATATACAGAGTCGTCAAATTGAAAAATGACTTCAATATGAGGTAACTCATAAAGTCACTTTTCATTACAAACAAAAAAAAATGCAAATAATATAAAAATTATGACTATAAAATAAAAAATATGTAAAAAAAAATGGTTTAACAAAGTTTAGGAATGACGTGTCCTACCGTTTAGGCAAATAATAATAATAATAATAATAATGTTTAGTGACTATGAGAGTTTAAAACAATATATTTATTTATTATTTATTATCGCCATCAGGTACGGCGCCATCCTAGCCCCGTACTTAGCCGACCCACAGAACTTGGTGGTCGTTTCTTCCGACTTTTGTCACTGGGGCCAGAGATTCCGGTACACTTGGAGAGATCCGAGCAGAGGACATCTATATCAGGGAATAGAGTGGTTGGATAGACAGGTAGGAGACACGGCAATGACACTTTTCACATACAAAATACCCGTGCACATTTTTTTATTGTTCTGTTTTTAGTGTTTACTTGGTTTTTGATTGTTTTACGAACCATTAAAGCGACCTTGTACAGGCTCTGCCAGAAAACCAGCGCCGACATGGTAAGAGAATTTTTTTCTTTTCTCACTCTGTCAACGTATGCTGAGGCAGGGTCCTGGTTGGCCGTCTATAGATGAACTTTATTTTTTGTCATACGCTATTGTTATGATGGCCAATAAAGAATAAGTCATTTCATTTCACATGAGACACTATAATGACACATTTGAGATATTTATGACACATAAGACACGATCATGACACTTGTAAGACAATAATGACATGTTTGAGCCAATAATGACAAGTAAAACACATTAGTGTCACGTAAGACACTATAATGATACAATGAGGCAATGATGACACATTTGTCACATAAATTCACAAACTTGATCTTCCGACTCTGGCACTGGACCAGAGATTTCGGTACACTTTGAGAGATCCGAGCAGTGGACATCTTTATCAGAGGATAGAGTGGTTGGTTAGTTGTGACACTTCCCGCACAAAAATTATACACGTAGCACTATAATACACAAAGCAAATATGATACTTGAGACATAATAATGACATGTTTGAGGCAATAATGATACGTGATACACGATAATGACAGCGAGACAATAGCTCGCGTAACGCAATAATTACACGTGAGACAATTATGACATGTAAACAACACAATAATGTAACACAATAATGACACGTGAGACACAGTAATGATACGTGACATACAATAATGACACGCGTGGCACAATAATGACACGTAAACGGCACATAAAAGGACACGCGTAACACAATAATGACACGTGAGACACAGTAATGATACGTGACATACAATAATGACACGCGTGGCACAATAATGACACGTAAACGGCACATAAAAGGACACGCGTAACACAATAATGACACGTGAGACATAGTAATGACACGTGCGACTCAATAATGCCACGTAAACGACACATAAAAGGACACGTGTAACACAATAATGCCACGTGAGACACAATTATGACATGTAAACAACACAATAATGTAACACGATATTGATATGTGAGATACAATAATTACACGTGTAACAGAAAAATGACACGTGAGACACAGTAATGACACGTGACATACAATAATGACACGCGAGACAATAATGACACATAAAAGGACACGTGCAACACAATTATGACACATGAGACACAATAATTCCACGTGAGACACAGTAATGACAAGTGAGACACAATAATGCCACGTGAGACACAGTAATGACAACTGAGTCACAATAATGCCAAGTGAGACACAGAACTGACACGTGACATACAATAATGCCACGTAAACGACATGAAATGACACGTGTAACATAATAATGATACGTTTAACACAATAATGACACGTGCCAGACAATAGTGACAGGTGAGACACAATAATGACACGTATGACACAAACACGAGAAACACCACGTTGACACGAGGGACACAATAATGATACGTGATACACAATGTTGACGCGTGAGACACAATACTGACACGTATAACACAATAAAGACACGCCTGAGACAAGAACGACAAGTGAGACACAAATAATGATACGTAAAGGACACGTGTAACACAATAATAACACATGAGGCACAGTAATGACAAGTGAGACACAATAATGCCACGTGAGACACAGAACTGACACGTGACATACAATAATGACACGTTAACGACATGAAATGACACGTGTAACATAATTATCATACGTTTAACACAATAATGACACGTGCCAGACAATAGTGATAGGTGAGACACAATAATGACACGTAAACGACACATAAAAGGACACGTGTAACACAATAATAACACGTGAGACACAGTAATGACACGTGAGACACAATAATGCCACATGAGACAGAACTGACACGTGACATACACTAATAACACGTAAACGACATGAAATGTCACGTGTAACATAATAATGATACGTTTACCACAATAATGACACGTGCCAGAATAGTGATAGGTGTGACACAATAATGACACGTATGACACAAACACGAGAAACTCCACGTTGACACGAGGGACACAATAATGACACGTATAACACAATAAAGACACGCCTGAGACAACAACGACAAGGGAGACACAAATAATGATACGTAAAGGACACGTGTAACACAATAATAACACATGAGACACAGTGATGACAAGTGAGACACAATAATTCCACGTGAGACACAGTAATGACAAGTGAGACACGATAATGCCACGTGAGACACAGAACTGACACGTGACATACAATAATGACACGTAAACGACATGAAATGACACGTGTAACATAATTATCATACGTTTAACACAATATTGACACGATGACACAAACTCGAGAAACACCTTGTTGACGCGAGGGACACAATAATGACACGTGATACACAATGTTGACGCGTGAGACACATTAATGACGCGTATAACACAATAAAGACACGCCTGAGACAACAACGACAAGTGAGACACACATAATGATACGAAAGACAATAATGACACGTGAGATAATAACGACCCGTACGCGACAATTAAGACACACCTGAGACAATAATGACACGTAAATCACAATTGTATCATGAGAGACAGACAGAATAATGACATGAGACTCAATAATTTTATTCTTGATGCAATAATGACACAATTGGGGAAATAATGATATACTCAACTCAGTTATGTTATGACACTTCAAAACTAACAATGGCCATTTTAGACAGAATATGACACAAAACACAATAATGTAACAATATTGATGTTGTGAAACACTATAATAACACGTGAGACACAATAATGACAAGTGTAGACAATAAATTGACATGTGAGATACAATAGTGACACGCGTGAGACACAATACCACCTCTGAGACGCAATAAAAATACACGTGAGACAGTATAATGACACGTGAGACACAAAAATGCCACGTGTGAGACACAATAACACCTCTGAGACACAATAATGACACGTGTAAGACACAATAACACCTCTGAGACACAATAATGACACGTGTAGAGAATAACTTGACATGTGAGATACAATAGTGACACGTGTGAGACACAAAAACACCTCTGAGACACAATAAAGATACACGAGAGACAGTATAATGATACGTGAGATACAAAAATGACACGTGTGAGACACAATAACACCTCTGAGACACAATAAAGATACACGTGAGACAGTATAATGACACGTGAGATACAAAAATGACACGTGTGAGACACAATAATGACACGTGTGAGACACAAAAATGCCACGTGTGAGACACAATAATGACACGTGTAAGACACAATAACACCTCTGAGACACAATAATGACACGTGTAGAGAATAACTTGACATGTGAGATACAATAGTGACACGTGTGAGACACAAAAACACCTCTGAGACACAATAAAGATACACGAGAGACAGTATAATGATACGTGAGATACAAAAATGACACGTGTGAGACACAATAACACCTCTGAGACACAATAAAGATACACGTGAGACAGTATAATGACACGTGAGATACAAAAATGACACGTGTGAGACACAATAATGACACGTGTGAGACACAATAATGACACGTGTGAGACACAATAATGACACGTGTAGACAATAACTTGACATGTGAGATACAATAGTGACACGTGTGAGACACAATAACACCTCTGAGACACAATAAAGATACATGTGAGACAATATAATGACACGTGAGATACAAAAATGACACGTGTGAGACACAATAATGACACGTGTGAGACAATAACACCTCTGAGATACAATAATGACACGTGTGAGACACAATAATGACACGTGTGAGACACAATAATGACACGTGTAGACAATAACTTGACATGTGAGATACAATAGTGACACGTGTGAGACACAATAACACCTCTGAGACACAATAAAGATACATGTGAGACAATATAATGACACGTGAGATACAAAAATGACACGTGTGAGACACAATAATGACACGTGTGAGACAATAACACCTCTGAGACACAATAATGACACGTTTGAGACACTATAATGATACGTGAGAGACACAATAACACCTTTGATTCAAATTAATTATCTATGTGAGACAGTAAAATGTCACGTGAGACAATAATAATGACACATTATAGGCACATATATAAAATTTTAATTTTATTATAAATAAATAAGTATTTCCAACACACACCAATTAGCCCCAAAGTAAGCTTACCCCCCAAGTAAATTTTTGCTATTTTGTAACAAAAATTGCCCTTCGAAAGTCAGTACTCAATGTACGAGTACATCGACAAATAAAAATGATTGTTTCCTAGCAACTTTTTTTTAATTTCTTATTTTGGCGTAAAGAATGCGTGACCTTCGGGCTTTGCCGACATTTATAAATCCATAAAAAATATATGAGTCAAATATTTAGGATAGTATAAATGTATTGACAGGGTATGGACATCATAGAAAAGATGGAGCCTCGCGCTTTCACGGACTATCTCAACAAGTATGGCAACACCATCTGCGGGAGACATCCCATTGGAGTGTTGCTACAGGTAAATTAAACTTATTCTTACTACAAAAAGGTTTCGAATTTTGTATAACATTTTTCTCTAACACTTGTTGAACGTATGTCTCACTTTATTGCGGTTATTACCTTATTAGGTTAAAAATATAACGCTCCCTTAGGTAAGAAAGTATACCGAATCCATAAGGTCTTCAGTATTATTTGATTTTTTTGCGTTTTTTCGATTGCATAGACTGGAGATATCCTTTTTTTTAAATACTGGCTGTATATAATTACGTCGAGATTAGGCTTTTAAAAAAATGGGTTTTTCTGTGCCGCCAAAATTATTGATTTTTTCAAACAATTTTTTTTTTAAATGTAATTAATTAATTTGTGAAATTACAATAAAATAGTTAAATGGCATTGAAATAACTGTTTATTAATTACGCTTCAACGATTCGTAGTATTATTCCAAGACAGCGTTGATTAAAAAAAAATTTTTTTTTTCATTTTGAGAAATTTTATTGTATCGTATTCCTAGACCCATATTCTTCAATTTTTATAAAACATGTTATTCTCTATAACAGGAGAAAGTATAACCAATGTTAAAAAAAATATGCATACTACCATTTCTTCGTATTATTTGAGCAATGCGTTGATAATAGAGATGGGCCAACTATAGTATTTGCCGACTAACCGACTAATCGGTTTTCGACTTATCGACTAGTCGGCCGACTATGCAATGCCGATCATTCTAACACCTATCTTAGGAAGATGTTCGGAATATTTCGTCACTACTCGGCTTGCTCACGCGCGACACGAGTCTCCCAAAACGAGCCGAAATATTCATGTTCCAACATCACAATTTGCCTATACAGAAAACAAAAATTACCTATCGACTTCTTTAAGACTCGCTAGCACTTAAGATTTCACTCAATTTATACGTACTTACTAGTCCAGGCAACGAATGCTCAAAAACAGGTATAGAGGGAAATGCTTGGAACACAATTTTTGACTTCGTAACTTTATTAGGACTAGTTAGGAGGTAAACATGTCAAAAGTCCCCGCCCGTAGCCCTTAAGCCGGGGGGAAGGGGGGGAATGAAGGTCCCATTTTTAGGTTTTTCGCATATATCTCGGAAACTATGCATCCTAGCGACATGAAACTTTGACAAAAGTGAAAGCTGATTAAATTTGCTACAAGTCTTATTCAATCAAGTTTTTTGATATCTTATATAGTTTTCGAGATATCCGCTCTTGAAAGTCTGTAATTATGGAAAAAAAAATTGCCACCACTCCCTGGGAATGCTGTTTTACTGCTCCCTCGGTGGGAGGAAGACAAGAGATATCAGGTTTGATGGTGGCCACTGATTTCAAGAACGACTTGTACCTGTAGGCATTGAGGGAAATCTCTTTCGCTGGAGCTCCATACCACCTTAAGATGCAGGTTTTACCTGCATTATAAGGTGCCTTTTGTACTTGAGCGGTGGTGGAGAAAGAGTGTGAAAAGACCGCTGCTGCTTTCTGGATTTCTGGTGACTTGATAATGTCTCTGGTCTCTGGGAAGGGAGGAAATTTCTCAAACCAATCGGTGAGGAATATTCATATAAAACACACAAACCACTAGATTAATCTTTATCACTGGAAATTAACTCTTAATCTAATTAAGTCACAAATTAATAAACTATCTCAATGAGGGCTACCGTTTTCTGCCTCACCAGATGGCGCCACTGTTGAGTGAGGTCCTAAATTGTAACTTTTAAAGTTTATTAATACGCACATGAAATCAAAGCTTATATTTAGATCGTATTTTAACACAAAAGAACCATATCCTAAACATAATAGGCCATGCCACAGTGACGCCCAGTTCCGTTTTATTCGGAAAAAATGGGAACATAATCATATATCTAAGCTCAAATTTTTAATAACTGACATTCATTGCCACATAACTCATATTTGCCATAATTAAGCCATATTGGTAACAATTCCAGTTATTCACAACATTATTTCAATTAGAAATAAACCCGCGTAGTCAACCAACAAGCAATAACATTTGACATTTCGGAGACCTCACGCTACACTAGCGCCTCTAGCGGCGGATTCATACGCGATAGCCCTCATTACAGTCTAATCAAAAGTGGTACAGATTGCGTCGGAAATAAACGATTCGTTGTGCACGTGGTGCGCGGACGACGGTCTTAACCAAAGTGATCAAAAATGGCCGCCCGGCCACCAACGTTACAACGCTCCGCTAGAGGGCAACATCCGGTGTTGCCAACTCTTTTCCGATTGTAAAAGTAGTGACATACAGCCAACTCAAATGTTATATTAACGCAGGCAAAGCGACTTTCAGATGAACAGCCATGTGGAACAAACAGTGGTGCCCTCACAGTGCGCCGTCAAGGTTTATTTCATTGTTATGTGCCGATTATAATCAGCATGTTTTGCCGAATAGTCAAAATTCAAAAAAAAATTCAAAATTCAATATTGTTTATTCAGTCTAGGCTGTTACAAGCACTTGTGAATGTCGAAAAGCTACGCCATCGGTTCGCAAATCTACGGCGGGAGACCTTGTACTGAGAAGAACCGGCAAGAAACTCAGCAAGGGCTGCTTTTTTCTCCCTGTATTATTTCATACAGTGTCGTCCAATTGAAAGTTGACATCAAACTTGCAAACATGTGTTGAGGTCAACTTCCATCGCCGTCGCCGACTAATCGCTGACTATAAATGATGCCGAATAGTCGTCTTTCCCCACTAGTCGGCGGCTAGTCGGCCCATCTCTAATTTATCATATAATTTAATAAATAATAACAATGACTTTTCAGGCGGTAGCGAGACTACAATCTCAGCAGAGCGCTCCCAGAATGACATTGAAATTCCTGAAATACGCTCAATCTTCCCAATGCATGAACATGCAGGACTCCTCCGTCTCTTACGCGAGTGCGTCCCTTGTATTCGAATAGTTCTATTTACTCTAAGGATTGTAATGCAATAAAGTCGAGTTTCGTTTGCACGTGCTCTTAAAATAACCTACAAATAAGTTTTTTTTAAAATGGCTATTATATTTGATGAAGAAGTTAATGTGGAGGGCATTTTTGCTAAATTCATTGATATCATCATCATTAGCCTATTAATGTCCCCACTGCTGGGGCACAGGTCTTCCCTATGGATGGAATAGGGAGATTGGGCCATGACCCACGCGGGCCCAGTCCGGATTACATTAATAGGCTGATGATGATTTTGTAGAAATTGGTAAAAAATTAGGCTTGTTTTATGTAGTTGTGTAGACGATATTCGACTTTAATTTAAGCACATTAAGGTTGTAGCTATAGAAGAGAAAAATATACAATTAAAAAGTCTGCATTTCCTTACTTGATTTGATTAGTAAACATTTATCAACGAATATATTATAAAATTGAGTTAATCTCTAACAATAATAAAATCATAATAAATAAACAAATATTAAGTTTTATTTATTAGTTATGAATTGTGTTGTTAATACCACTCATATTTTGAAGAATTATAATTAATTTAATTTATAAAGATTATTCTAAATTGATTTTGGCATTTTGTGTATGAATCATTTGAAATTTTGAAAAAGGTTTACTAAATAATTCAAATGTTGGAAAAAATAGCAGTATAAATAAATATATACATATATTATGTTGTGTTAATTCTAGTAAGTCACAAAGATATAAAAATGTACTTTAATTTTAATAAAATATGTAATAGCTTGCACAGATTTCCTTAAACTTAAAAATGAACTTTTTATATTTAAAATGTGTGGATTAAATATTGATTTTTAATGATCTCTCTATAGCAATGCGGTCGCGAGAATTAATACTTTAAGCATTTATTTTTAAGTATTTTTCACTTAATAATAATTTTAACCTCATCTCTTATAAGCTTGGCTATGTGGTAGGGATGTTATTATTTTTTATTAAAATTGATTTGATTGATGGAAACTGTCCATGTCCTGTGAGAATGCTCACAATTTGTTGCAAAGCATGTCTTGGTAGCTTGCAGAACTTACTTGGGTCTATCTTGGGTATGGCCTGCAGTCTACAAGTCCAGCCCAGTCAAATAACGTTATTTTACGATATTTTTACGCGAATCGGTAATGTTAACAATCCCTGTTGTGAAGTTAACAAGCCCTGTTGTGAAGTTAACAGGCCCTGTTGTGAAGTTAACAATCCCTGTTGTGAAGTTAACAAGAAATTGCACTGTCAATACTGAAAATAAAGTAAAAAAAATATACTACGAAAAAAATCAGTTTTTGTTTCAGACGGGATTCAAAACTTTTCCTTTCTCTGTTAAGACTGTGGCTTTTCTAATTTACTTCATAGAGTTGTTTTTTTACATGAAATTCTTATTTATTGGAAACAGCGCCATCTCTTGATGTTATATGTAACTAGTCCCCTCTGCAGCAGAAGCATAGATAAGCAATAACCTGGAATAACAAAATCCCAGATTAGCAGAAGGACAGAAGCACAGATCCACACAGAAAACAAAAATAAAATTTATAAAATTTTATTTGAAAATATTAATACTTTAAAAGAGTGAATGTGTCTTTATAATACAAAATACATTCTAAATATTACCATTCATCAATTTACATTAAGTTTAAAGAAAATTTTGTTAGAAAAACAAAAAATAAACCGACTTCAAAATCGAAAATGGAACTAAAAATGCAAAAATTTCATCGATTTTAGTGAAAATTACGAATACACTGCTTAAAAAATAATAACTATAATTGCTATTGAAAATAAGGGCCGTGGTAGCATAATTGGTCAGTGCATTCGCCCGGATTGCGAAGGGTGCGGGTTCGAGTCCCGTCCGATGCCTGGTCCGCGTGGATTTTTTTCTAGTAAATCTTTTCTTTAGATTTAAACATCTAGCAGTTAAATGCTTAAAAAAAATAAAACCATAACTATAATTGCTATTTCTTCTTTCAAATGTTTAATACTTGTAAAGGTATTCAATTGACATTGTGGGTTACCTACAATGCGAAGAGATGGCGCTGCCTTGCAGCATTACAAACGCTAATAACAATTTGACACGGCCATCGGGGTCGCGGTAGCATAAAGGTCAGTGCATTCGCCCGGATAGCGAAGATTTCAGTCCTGTCTGCTGCTACGCTCGCGTGAATTTTTTTGTAACAAAATTTCTTTAGATTTGAACAACTAGAAGTTAAATTCTTGAAAAATAAAAAATATTATTATTTTAATTTACTCAGATACAGTATAGAATATTGTATATAAAGCGTTCATCTGTGAGCCCATATTCGTTGAGTTATAGCGTTCTATTAATAACAGCTACAACAATTACAAATCACAATTCGTATTAAATAAAAAATGAAATGCTTAAAATAATAAATGCTTTTATATTTTTAGCCACGATAGATGTAATTATGCATTTTTTTTATATTCTTATTTCTTAACGTGTATCATTATTTTTCAATATAAGGGGCTTTAAGTCATTGAAAGCAGCTAACTTACGCATATTGTATTTTGATAGTTATCAATATTTGCCTATAAATTACCTTTTTTTTTAGTATAAATGAGAGAAAAACATGTTTTTGTGATTTTTTTGGTGTTCAGACATTTTGAAATTGTGAAAAAATTTAAAATATGTTGTTATAATTACACTTGTATTACTGTAAAATATCTGTCCTAAAAGTCTGAAAAAACAACAAACTGTATATAAGTCCTATCGAAACGCACATCAGAAATCCTTGGCTTTGTAATGAAAAAATAAAAAATATTTCAAATAACGTGTTGTTTTTTTCTATCATTCATGCATGGTGTTATGAGTTGAGAGTACAAAGGAACTTTTAAATGACGATGGCTGCATGGCTTTGCCTTCGCCTTTCCCAAGATGGGAAAAACAGACTAAAAAATGAATAAATTATGAGTTGAGAGTTGCCATGAAAATGTTTAACCTGAAACATTTACCACTAATGACTGGCCTGGCCAATGTGGGAAACTCCAAGGCCGTAAAAATTATATATAAAAAAAAAATACCTGAAACATTTCTTTAACTTACTTAGAGCTTTATGTGGACTAACATAAGATTCACAATTCATCAAGATTTACAGCATGTGGTAACTTCGGGATAATAATGCTAACTTTGGTGTGTTGTATGGTTATTTTCATGGATTTATGGCGCGATTACATTTGGCCGTTAGTTCCCTTTTACCTGCGAAGGACAGGCCATAGTGAGTCGGTATTTCAACGTATAGTATAAAATCTGTATTATATGTATAGATATTATATTATATTATAATATCTATATTATATATACAGGATGGTCCAACTAGTGACGTCAACAATTTTTTTTAGATTCCTCGCACCTATCTATCATGGGGTATCCGAAAATACCGCCTATATGTTCCGCGATTTTTCTTAGTTTTCGAGTTATACATTTTTTGTGTATTTTTTAATTTTAGCCAGAAGCTATGGAAACTCCTTTTTGTATTTTTGTATTGAAGTTGAACGTTTGAGTAAATCTTACTAAAAACTAAAGTTCCAACTTTCAAGCCTTTTTTGAGTAACTTTAATTAATTTCAGGAAGCTGAGTTATTTTTTTATTAAAACAACATTCAATACAATTATGTCACAAAAAAAGACTGTAAAATACCTACTACGAAAAAAGATAAGAAATTTTGAAACCCCGCTGGCAGAAATCATTAAAAATACACAAAAAAAATTAACTCGAAAACTAAGAAAAATCGCGGAACATACATGGGGGTATTTTCGGATACCCCCAGGTGCGAGAAATCTAAAAAAATGTTGACGTCACTAGTTGGACCACCCTGTATAGATGTTGGTATATTATAGTATAATATAATATCTATAGTCGGTATACTTTAGAATTACATTAATTTTATAACTCACAAACATAATGAGTTGAAATTAAATGCCACAGGTTGCATAAATTAGCATACGAATCCGTCAATGCGAATACGCGCGCCGCTTGGCGAAATCTGGTCGGTCGAAAACTTCAAGCGAATTGAAACCTTAACACATGACAAATAAAGATTGCAGGCTATCTAAGATCGGGTTATATCGCTGTTATAGCGACAAGCATCCAGCATGTGGAGGTAACGTGTAAGTGTGCGTGGAGTGCTTACATTTTATTTGTTTGATATTATTATTAGCGGCTTAAACAGCCTAGTACTGCGGCGCGGATCTGTGTGCGTTTGCACGATTTCAAATACATTGCGTATTTTGTATCCAGCATATTGAAGAATATTTTTACAAAGCGCGCAATGTTGTATTATGTCGCTTGCATTAACGTTTTATACATCAGTAGTCGCTTGTGCTAAAATGTAAGTATAAGTATTAGAATCTACCAAGGGAAGCCGGTGGGAATCGGGTTCTAAAGATGCTTCGCCGCTGAGCCGTGGTATAGCTGAAATAAAACGCTCAATGCCGCCACATCACGGCGTAATTGGAGAGGCTCGAGTGAGGTGTTTAGTCACCTCCTCATTGCCAATGATACGGTTTACATGCCGTTGTAGCCTATCCAAAGCATCGAGTAAGTACTTGGGGGAGCCATTCCGAAGGTGCTTGCAATATACCACACTATTACCGCACTTGCGTCTTGAACAACCAACGATATTAAATACCCTACATACATCACGTGCGCTCAAAATGTGACCCAATCGAGAAGTGTTTGAACACCACTCAAGCACTACTTGGAACACAGTCTAGGGATGTCGAAAGTTGAAAAAAATATCGATATATCGATACATCGATATTTTAAAAAATATCAATATCGGCTTCGATATATCGATATATCGGACCAATTTTCCCAAAAATATCGTACAGTAGCTCACGAAATATGACACGCGGAATAATAATGGAACGAAAATTATCTCCCATAAAATAAACCCTATTTTCGAATGATGACATAGACAATACTAAATAATAATAAATAATAAATATTTCCCACACTGACACCAATTAGCCTAGCCCCAAGTAAGCACTATAAGGCTTGTGTTATGGGATGCTAGGGTAACGGATAGAATACCTATACCGTAGATATATAAGTATATTTATATAAATACATATTAAACATCCATGACTGGAGTACAAAT